AAAAATTCACAAATTTTATTTAAAAATAATTTTTCTTTATTTATTTTATTAATTTTTAATAATTTAATTAATAAATTATTTAATTCCTCTTTTTCTTCTTTTTCTTCTTCTTTTTTTAAATTTTTATTTTTAATTTTTTCCCAATTTTCTTTTAATTCTTTAAAATAATTTTCTTTAAAATAAATATTAAAAATTTCAAAATTAATTTCTTTTAATTTTTCTAAAAATAAAAATCTTTTTTCAATTTCATTTAAATAAATAGCCATTTTTAATATTAATTCTTTTCTTCCTTTTCCTCCTCCTCCTTTCTCTTCTTCTTCTTCTTCTTCTTCTCCTTCTTTTCCTCCTCTTCCTCCTCCCTCTCCACCTCCTCCTTCTTTTCCTTCTCCTCCTTCCTTCTTTCCCCATCCTCCTTCCTCTTTTTTTCCTTCCCCTCCTCCCTCTCCTCCTTCTTCCTCTTTTCCTTCTCTTCTTTCCTCTTCTTCTTTTCCCCTTCTCCCTCCTCCCTCTTCTTCAATATTTTGTTTAATTAATTCAAATAAATTTTTATTTTCAATAAAATATTTTAATTTTATAATTTCCTCCTCCTCCTCTTTTTTATTTTCTTTTATTTTTTCTTCTTCATTTTTATTTTCTTCTTTTTCTTCAATTAATTTATTTGATGGAGGTTTTAGTAATTTATTTTCTTTTTTCTTTAATTTTTTATTTAATTTTTTTAAATTTAATTTTTCTTTTTCCTTCTCAGTTTCAATCATTTTTATTATTTTTTTACTATTTTCTATGCTTACAAGATTTTGTAAATTTTTAAAAAGATTTTCTGTTTCTATTTCTTTCATTGCTAAAAGAATTAAAAACTTAGAATTTCTTTTATAAATTTTGATTGTGTATTAGATTAACACTAAAATTTTTACCCATTCTTATTTATAACAAGTAAAAGGGTACTGGAAGTCTATTCTCTCCATGTTTTACCAGAAATCCCTCTCCTCTCCTCCATTTTTTGAAATCTCGTTGACACGTTTTGCCTCCCTGTCTCCGCGGTTATCAATCAGGGAACGTGCAGAAATAAATTCCAGATTTCGGGAATTGGATCAACACATTCCCTACTACCATTTTTACTTGACCATTAAAAGATTTAGTGGCCAAATAACTCCTCTAAAAGTTATTCTTTTAAAATACTTAAAAAATTTAAAGAGATATGTAAAAGTAAAAACAAACTTTCAATTAAATAATTATTTTTCTCCCCAATTAATTTATTTATTAATTTAAAATGTTCGGCTTTTAACCAATTTTTGAATTTATTTAAATCTTTTTTGTCATAACCATTCGCTATATACGAAATATATCTTTTATTATCAATATCTGTCCATTCCTCAACAATTTTTAAATTTCTATTTAAATTTTCGGACTTATTATTTCTCTAAAATTTTTTTAATTTTTTAAAATCAGAAATCTTCCTTACATTTTTCTTTTCTTTCATTTTATTTTCAATTAAATCTTTAAATTCTTCTAATATTCCCAAATAATTTATTTTTACATTTTCAATTTCGTTTTCATTAATTACAAATAAATATTCATAATTTTTATGTATTTTCATTTTATTTTCATTTACGTTAATATTCATTGTTAATTTTGTTTCAGGATCTTTCCATTCAACATTTCCAGTAATCATTAAATTAACCCATCTAAACCAAATAATATAATCTGCCATAATAATTCTTATTTTATAAATAATCGGATTTTTGTTTGTTAATATATCAACATAATGTTTTGTTATTTGTTCATTTTCTAGTAAATCTGAAAATAAGATAAGACTTTAAGCTTTTTATTAAATATTCTTGCAGTTATATCGGGATTTTTTTAAATTTTGAAATTGTTTATCTTTTTTTCTGTTAAAATTTTTGAATCCTTGATGACTTTGTATTGTTTAATTTATCTCATCGAGTTGTATCGACCCATTTTAAAACGTCACGGATTTAAAAAATTTGCTGAAGTTATAGCCCTTCGACAAGGTACCCTTACGACGGACTTTTCCTATCACTGATTTTGGTTTGCTGTGGTTGACCTGTCAGGGGTCAGGGTTTTTGTCCATAAGTACCCTGCTACCCTAAAATATTCCTAAAATATTCTATATATCGAATAAATTTCTATGATATTTTTCATTTTTAATTTATTGAACAAGAAATCCCCTCATCTCATAACAACCTAACCAAAATACAGACTTTGTTATCTACTATGTACAATTTTAGTTTTTTTTAATTTCATTTTATTTAAATAATATTTTAATTTTACTAATGTTTAATAATTAATTTAAATAAAAAATATTTTTAAACCGTTATTATCAAATAATCCATGTTTTTTAACAAATTTTTCTGTATATTTATTGTTTTCAAGAAAACATAAAAGAAAGAAAGTTGTTCCCTTTTTACTTTTAATTAATTCTAAATTATTTTTGTCTTCATTAAATTTTTGTTCCAAAAAATCTAAATGATCCTGATTTACAATTTTATCAATTTTTCCAATATATTCAGGATCTACTTCATTTTTTAAATTTAATTTTGTAATAATTTCTTCTAATTTTTTATTAATTTCTTCAATAATTAAATTAATTTCTCCTATTTTAATTAAATTTCCAAATTCTTTAGTTTTACCAGAAAGGAATTCAACACATTCGGTTAAAAAATATAACGAATAATTTAATTTATCTTTCATATATTTATATATTTCTTTTTTTATTTTTTTAAATGTCTCTTCTAAATTTTTATATTTTTCTGAATTTATTTCCAAAAAAGACAAAAGAGCATTTTCTATTTTTTCAACTTTTCCTAACAAAATTGAAATACTCATTCTGGCTTGTAAATCTGTAAAATATAGTCCGTCATTCGTGTGGATTTCTATTTCTGTTGATTCTAACCATAAAATATTTTTATATAAATACCATCGGTATTCTGGTTCGATATAAGCTAAAAATATTTAATTTAAATATATATGTATATATTTATAAATTATGGAAATAAAAATTTTAATCCAATCTTAATGAGAGAATCTAATAACAAATTTATCCAGATATATTTATTTTTCGTAGTCATGCTAATAATAATAATTTCTTTCCTATGAAGATCTCTTTTGTGTTTCCATTTAAAATTTTAAAAAATATAAAAAATTCTACTTGCAAGAAATTCAAAAATTAAATTTTAATTTTCTATAAACTTTTAAAAATAAAAAAATTAAAAACTACTTACATATTATCAAAAGTTCTGGATGTTTAAACTCCAAATTAGAAAACAATTCATACCCAACTAATTTAATAATATTTGCTTTAACATTATTATCAAAAGAAAAATTATTTGGGTTTATTTTACTCAGAAAATTGCGAAGGGAATTAAAATGAGAATATTTAATTTGTTTTTCTAAAAAGTTTGTGTTCAAACAAATTTCTATCAATTCCTCAATTTCAATTTCTGTTTCGCATAAAATTTCTTTATTAAAAATATCCATTTCCTTAAATTAAAAATTTTATAATTTTCCATAAAGGAATTGTTAAATTTATTGTATGTATTTCATAATCGAATTTGTTCTATATTATTTATTTCCGTAACTTTTCCACCATCTTTATTTTAATAAATATACGAATAGCTACGGCATGGGTTTAGAAATTAAGTCCTGAAACTTTAAAAGATACGGGAACTAAAATGTTCTGATGGTGAAGATAAACCAAATAAATTTAAGTTGAAATAAGGAGTCGAGGAGTGATAAACTAACTAAATATTTATGATGATAGTTAAAAATAATTATCTATATGGCAAAAGTTTTTATGTTTAATTATCAATTGATTATTATATTTTAATTAGATTTATAATTCTCTTTATATATTTTTTATTTGGGAATTATCTAAACAAGTAATTAATCTTACTCTAATTATTATTACAATTTTAATTTTAATATTAAAAATATTTTTACAAACATATTTAGGCAAAATAGAATATTCTTCCAAAGATTGTTTCCAATATTCATTATTTAAAAGTTCTTCCTCATTTTTAACCAAATTTAAAATAAATTTAAAAAATTCACAAAATATTTTTTCTCTTTTCCAATTTTGTGAATTTTCCAAAATATTTAAAATTAATTTTAAAGAATTTTCTGAAAATTTTTGAAATTTTTTGTTGAATTTATTTAAATTAAATTTATATTTTTCTTTTTTAGCTTCTTCATTTTCTTTTAATTTTTCACTTAAAAATGAATAAAAAATTTTATAAAATTTTTCCTCCTCATTTAAAATATTTTTTCCAGCAGCATTTTCAATAAAAAATCTAAAACTTTTAATTAAAGATTCAATTTCAAGTTTTTTTAAATATTCATTATTATTTGAAAATAAAAAATAATTTTTATATAAATTAAAATTTTCTTCATTTTCTTTTAAATTAAATATTTTATATTCTTCACTTTTAAATATTTCTTTTTCATTTATTAATGTTGAATTTGTAATTAAGAAAATATTAATAATTAAATAAAATAATAATAAATACATTTTATTTTTTATTTTTTAATTTATTTGGGTTATGTATAAATAAATGAATAAATAAAAATATTTTATTAAAAAATATTAGGAAATACCTATGTCTCTTTCCTTTTTACCTATAATTGCACTTTTATGCCAATAAAACGACTTTATAAAAGCCGACTAGCAATTCACGTGAATAATAAAAAAATTATTGACAAATGAAGAAATCATCTGGAAATTTCGAAAAAGAAAAATCCTCGGTCCTTCAGCTTAGTTCCGAACCACAACCCCATTCACATGCTTCCCTATAATATTTTTATGTCCGTTAATTAGTGTTCCAGTTATTCCAACTTATATTATGATTTTACCCGATGAATAAATTTTCCTCGGAAATACATGTTTAGAATCTCTTTTTTAGAGATCCAAATTATAATAAATCAAAATATATTTAAGGCAATTAAAGTAATTTTATTCATTTTTAATCCTTCAATTTCACATATAATTATAATTCTAATTGAAGTATTTTCAATTGATCACTAACAGTATCTGTTTTTAATGTATAATGTGTAAGGCCATCATATTTAATTTCTTTTTTTGTTCCAACAACAATTGAAGTTTTCCAGCCATATGCTTTATTAGTTGGGCCTATTATTGTGTCATTAGTTGACCAAAAACTTGCCTAAAATAATTATATTTTTAATTAAAAATAAATATAAATTTATTACAATATATTTGCCATCATCATTTGAATGATTCAATTTTCTCAATATATCCCCATAATTATCTGAACAGGGAATAAGATCGTCGCTGTTACATTGTTTTACATCTGTATGTTCTGGACAGCTTGGACCAGTCCAGAAACCAAACTTTAAATTTTTTACAATTAAATTATATATTAAATAGCCATTTATACTTCTTTACTGCAAGCTGGAACTCTTTTTGTATCGTTAGTTGTTTCTCCTTCACTATCAGCACAAATACACAAGCCATTGTTAGCACCAGCGATTGCAATAAATTTAGGTATTTATTTTACTTTTTAGAGGGTCTCCAAGTTGGCACTTAAAAATTAAATTTTAAATAAAAATTAATTTTATTCAAAAATTTTAATTTTACTCTATGTAAAATCCACATATTCCCTTGAATAATAATTCCTGCATAAGTAACACCCATTGAATGAGCAATAATGTCTATTTCTTCTGCACCTGTATATTCTAAAACAGCATCTACAAATCTTCTCAATCTTGTAGCAGTTCCGCAAGTTAATTTGCTTTATAAAAAATAATTTTTGGATAAAAGAGTTATTTTAATTTTAAAAATTTATATATTTAAATTTACTTAGTTCCCCACTCTTTTCTCATAATTTTACTCCTAAATAGACTCGAACCTTAATAACAATCTTTTTATTCTGATCTGCTGTTAAAGCATTTTTAGTTTAAAAATAAACTGGACAAAAATTTTTTTATTCCTAATGAATTAAAAAAGCTAATTTTTATTATTTAACTCCTTCTGTGTATCAATTATTTATACGATTTATAATTACTAAATAAAAAATACTTTTCTATAGATTTTGTAATATCTCTAATCCCATAAGTTATTGCATATAATTCAGCTGTAGTATATCCTCCATGAGACATAAAATAACTAATTGAATTACTCCATCCACTGTTCCAATCACCACCATGCCCAGCTAACGCCCCATCAGAATTGCCATGAATAAATACTACTGGACGTTTATTTATCTAAAAGTCTTATGTACCTAGGTCAATATTGAAATTATAAGTTACAAAAATATATACGATCTAATTTTTTAAAAAGAATTATAAAAATTTCCATAACTAATTATTAGAGTTGGCAGAAAAAGCGCAAACCCAGAAAATGAAAAATATGCACAAATTTCGTAAAAATCTGCAAATTAAAAATCTACAATTCTTTCCACCAACCCCAAAGAGTATGATAAATTTTTGAAAATATTTTCAATTTTTAGGTGTATCTATATTTATGTAGATTGATTCATTCTATTAAGGATACCTATTTAATTTAAATTTAATTTTCTAATATTTACCGGCTGATTTTTGTATTTACGCCCACCAAAACTATTTAAATTACCAAAACCAGCTAAGTCTTCATAATATTCATGCCTGTAAAAATTTATTAGGAAATTTTTAAATGTAAAAAAATATTTATTAATTATACAATAAATGTTCCAATAAAAGCCCCGGGTTTTTATTTCAATGTTTTACTTTGGGTGAGCTTTTATGTACATGATCGGGCAATAGGACTTTTAGGGTAATTTTATTTAATATATTAACTGAGAAAGCCATTCTTGAAAGTCTTGTGTTAAAGGTCCTTCTATTTTATCAGGTTTTACTATATCCAATTCAGGTTTACAATCACATTCACATTGTTCGTTACTTTCATTTAAATTAAAAATTAAAAATAAACAAAAAATAATTTTAATTTTATTTTTTAATAACATTTTTTTATGATTTTTAAAAATATTTTTTAAAAAGTTTTTGAAAAGCACTTTTAAGAAAACCATTTTATAAGCATTTTTAGATCATGAATATTTATAAAATTAAACAAAAATTTTTGTCTATATTTATCAATTTAAATAATTTTCTGTATTTAAATTCATTTTGTTTTGATATTTTTAGAAATGTATATTTTTATAAAAGAAATTATGGCAATCTTGGAATATTAATTTTATTAAAATAAATTTTTTTATTTAAAAATAAAATTGTTCGTTCTAAATTATTTATTTTTAAATTATTCAGGAGATTTGGAGGGATGTCGGGGATATCAGCAACCTTTTAATCGCCTCAGATATTCACCTTATCCCTCAATATCCCTCCAAATCCACCGATATCCCACTTAATCTCTCGAACTCCCTCGTTATCCCCTTTAATCCCTTTAGAGCCTCTTATTAGAGTTGATAATAAATAAAAAATTTTGTTGATAAAAAGGTTGTAGTTTTTTAAGTTGAATAGTTCTTCAATGTGTAGGATGCAGGTCAACAAGTTGTAGGTCTTGCTCAAATTTTCTACCGTGCCCTAAGTTATCACCGAACTTTTTTCCTATGATACTTCATGTGCACTTGAAAATTCAAAATTTCTTCGTTTTGAAATTTTTCATTAGAAATTCGTTAAAAATTGTTGATATCCTAATTTTGTTTAAGTCACCGAAATTTCACTGTAAAAATCCTTTCTTGTCCCCGTTCACTAACTCAAAATTAACAAAAAATTCCTTGTTTACTTATTGTCTTCTTTCTCAAAAGAAATATTTTTTTCTTTTTAACTTAAATTTTCCACATATCAACTGTTTTTTACTTTATTTTAAATCACCTCACAATCAATCCTCATCATTTTTCAATTGTTGCAATGACATTTAAACCTTCTTTTTTCAATATTTTTCTATTTAAAGATTTTAAGTTACATCCTATTCTCATGTGAATATTTTTCTCTTGCCATTTAAAAATTTATTTAGATTTTTTTAAAATAGTTTTTCTATCTTTAATCTTAAAAGATTTAATTTCATCTACTAAAAATATTTTTTAAAAATTTAATTTTTAAATCTCGAATTTCTCTTCTTTCCAAATGATTGACTGATTTTTAAAAATTCTTTTTCTATTTTTAGTTAAAGTTTTTATTCCCAAAATATTTATTTTAGTAAATTTTGTTATAAAATATTAATTGCTTTTTATAAAAAATTTTTATAACCTCATTATTAATTAATTTTCATCATTTAAAATCATTTTAAAAACCACAGATTTTAATTTATTATTAGCTATTTTTTATTTTAAATTTTGAAAAAAAATTTTTTGGTCTTTTTTGGTCTATTTCTTTTGATCTGAAATCCATCTAATTAATTAATAAATATCACTTTATTGAATAACGACATAATGAAACTGTAATTTTTCCTTAATTGATAGTAAAATATTAGAATATATATCTAAATCCAAAAACCAATGTTTATGTATTTATATTTTTCCTAAAAATATTTGTGTCAATATACAATATTTTAACACCCTTGGAGACGAAAAAGTTATGAATTGTATGTAAGATCAGAGATAACGTTAAGGAAGCTCCCCTCTCTTTAAAAAATTATCTGTAGTAACTCTGGGTGTGCAAAATATTTAATAATTAAGAGATCTTCCTTTAAATATTTGGATGGATATATTGGCTTTGTTGACACGTCAAGAAATAGCCTCGTTGGCAGAAGAGTTTTCTGACAGAAGATTTTGCACAATTCTTGCCTGTTATTTACATAGATATGGGTTAATTACTTTGCCTACACTTCGATTTGATTGTTCTACATATGGGGCTAGACGGCAATCAGCACCAACAATACATGCCTGGCATGGAAGGGGTTGGGAATCTGAATTGCCCTTAGCTGAAGCACCCTTGCCCGTTAATATAAGAAATTTTACTTCATTAGAAATTTGGTGCTTTTAATAAATATTATTTACTAAATAAATATTTATTTTTATTTTTTAGTTATTTTGATTCAAAAGTTGCCCAATTTGTTCAAAGAATGTCTCCAATTTTTAATAATGTTGTTATTAATTTAGTTAGCGATTCTAAAGTTGGAGGAACTAAAAAAATAAACAACAAAAAACAATTCGAAGTTTTACGTCATTTACTCCCATCAATTAATAGTATTGAGGGAATTCGTATTGAGGATTTAAAAATGTTACCGGAACTTAATTCTAAATTCCCCACAACATTTTTTGATATTAAAGTTTGTAAAAATATTTTTAGTTAAATACACCGATTCCTCTGATATACATATCTCTAATCAAATTTTTCAATTGCCATTATTACCTAGTTTTGTATCTAGAAAAAGGAAATATTTAAAGGATATCTCGTAGATATTAAGGCGGATGATCATTATAATTAAATATTTTACTTTGCACTAAAAATGCTCGAAGATGAGAATTAGAGATTTATATCAATTAGAAATTTATGAGAATTCGAGATCAATTAATGCTTTTGTCTTTGGAAATAAACTAAAAATATTTGAAATTTAAGGTGTTGCAACTTGTAAATCCCAATTTGGTCGTTTCTTCAAACAACATTCAAAAACTTCCATCAACGCCCACAGCTGCTCGTCAGCGATGGAATGTTCTCGTTAATTCCTCAAATTTCCCAAATCGCGCTAAGAGAAAATCTGTTGATTCTGCAAATTTAAATAATGAAAATGTTGATATATTAAGTTTAATTTTAAATTGGTTGTCCACAAAAAGGAAGGATGGAGAACCTAGAATGTTACAATTAAGGAGATCATCTGATGCAAATAATAATAATAAATTAGAAGAATCATCTGTTATTGAATTTATTAATGCAATTAAAAAGGTAATTTCCAATAATTTGAATGGAAAAGTGCAGATAAATAAGGCTATATACTAGATCTGATCTCAAAATTCGAATCATCAATGTACCGTTTATAAAAAATCGACGGTTCCGGGTACTAGCTGTCCCAGAATTTCGCCTATCCCACTGTCTTAGATACCAGAAACAGGTTCCAGAACTTTTGTACTAAAGCATTCCTAAAATAAAAAGATGAAAGCATTAGTCACTTTATAAAACTTTAGTTACTTATTTTTATTATTATCTGCCAAATTTAATTTAAAATTTAACAATTTAGAATTTCGTTGAATCAAAAGAACCTGTCAGTTATTTTATTCGAATGAGAGAACATAATTGTATTGAAAATATTCCTAATTTTAAATTAACGAATGAATTAACAAATGAATGTTTGGAAATGAATAAAATTAAGAATGAAAAGGGGGGAGCTTTAATTAGTAGATATTTAATTAATGAAATAAAAGATGAGCAATGGTGGAGACAAAGAGAGGAAAAAGCAATTAAATGGAGATATGCTTCTAGATTAAGAAGAATTGCTTTATTACATTATTTAAAATAAATAAATATGAACAAGCTTAATTTTTGTAATTTATAAATAAAAATTTTCAAATTTTTATCAGAATCCGGAAAGGAGAAAATTTTCGAAATATATTGGAATATTAAAAATTTTAAAAATATTCTATGAATTTTCATTGTGACTTTGCCACCACCCAACCCGTTGATGTTTATTTTCATTCACTCTTTCTGTAAGTGCGACACAGCAATATGTATGAATGAATAAATATTGTTCTAATAATTAACTTCAATAATATTTAAAATTATTAATCATTTTAATAACAAATTTTTTAAATAAATTTTAAAAAAATAATTTTAAATTATTTAACTAAACAACTTTTAATTTAATTATTGGCATGAAGACCACTCTATTTCTTTTTTCTTTCTCGGAGAAAATGCTATTTGTTGTAAAAAAGAATCAAAAAATATGCAATAATTATTAAAGACTGGTAATGCAAATTCTAACTCGGCATCTCCTTTCCAATCCCATATTTCAATTTCACAAATATTATCATGCTTAAATATTTAAATAAATTATTTATTTTATTGCTAATTATGGACATTCGAAAGACTTGTTTAGATGTGAAAAATGAATTGATATTTGAATAAAATTTTGTCTTCAGTTAAAATGTCTTTGTTAATTACTTATAAGCTTTTCAATTGGATAATAATTTTTAAAATTTATTTTCAATCCTCCCTAATTAATTTTGATATTCTGACTAGAGGTGGACAGGGTTATATTCTGACTAGGCGCAGGACGGGATCCCGACTGGGGTCTCCGGAATCCCGAAATCCCGGATTTTTTTGAGTTTCGGGATCCGGGATTTTTCTAAAATTTATCCTTCGGAGTCCCCCGCCCGGGATCCCGTCCCGGCCCTCCTGATCCCGCACGGTTAAGAAAAAATCCAAACTCGGGATCCCGGAAGTGCGATTTTGCCGACCTCTAATTCTGACTTAATAGCTGATAAATTCTTTAATGAATTAAAATTTAATTTTTAATTTAATTTAAAAAATCCTTACACTATATCCAGACAAATCACTTCCATCAAAATTAATTGTAATATTCGCATTATTAAATTTTAAACCTAATTGATTCCTTTTTATTTTAGTATCATTACATAAACCATCTAAATAATAACGAGAAATATCATAATGAGCATCTAAAACATTTGAAATTTTTGTAATATCCTTTTTATTTCCTTGTATAATATTGCGAAAAAACATATAATAAAGAGTAAAAGTAGTGTCTCTACTAATATTTACAATTGTATTCCCCTGACTGTCAACAAGTTCGTTAACAAAGAATTCAACATCATATAAGTTGTCCTAAATGATAATAAATATTTATTGTTTTAGATTATATAATATTTACTATATAATTTCTAAGGCTATGCAGGAGGCTGAGTGGTGTAAAGATCCTTTAAACTAAAGATGGTTGTTATCTCTCAGCCATTCCAGGCTTAGTTAAAGACCTAATTTATTCAACCAAATATGTATTTACATGTTTGTAAATTGCCTTACCTAAAGGCCACTCCAGCCTTAGTTAAAGATCTATGTAACTTACGCAACCGAATATATATTTTAATTGACTTATCTAAACGAATTTTTTGAACTTGAAAAAATTTTTAAATTAATTGCTTATTTAAATACTCCTAACAAAATAATATTTTTTTTAAATAAATTTACATCAAATCTAGCATTAATTGGAGTACTCATTTTATCCATATAACAATATTCTTCAAATTTTTCCTCTTCATAATAACAATTATCGTGAAAATAATAAATAGCATCATCATAAATATCTTTATATGAAAGCATTGCATAATCTATAAAAAATTCTTCATTTCTTTCCTCGCTTTTTTTAATTTTTGTTGAATTTTTTAAAATTTCCCTCTTTTTATTTAAAAATAATTTTTGTCCTTTTTTATTCAAAATATTCCTTGATTCAATAAAATTAATACTTAAATAAATAAATAGATTAATTGTTAAAAATAAAATTATTTTGAAATTATTAGACATTTTTTTAAAATTATTTTTTTGATAATTTAAAAATATTTTTTGGTAAATTAATTAATTTATATATTATTTTGTGGACACAATATAGTAAGAATATTTAGTTCCGGAAGAGAATGCTGAAGAAATAATTGGACGTTATCTTTAAATGATTTCATTTTTAGTTAAACACCCTAACTTTAATACGATTATTATTTATTTATTTATTTTAGAATTTTGTATTTAAAAAAATTTTTGGAGATAAAAATATCTTTTAATAGTTGGAAAAATATTTTAGTTGATATTATCCTAAATAGGTGTAGGAATTTAGGTATTTATTAGATAAAGTATGTATAAGAGATAATAAAAAACGGCAGAATTACTTGGACAATATATTAAAGCAATGAATATTAATTGTACAGAATTGTACTCTCAGAAGCTCAAATGAGTAAAAGTTTCAGCATTTTTGAATAGAGCTACTTTGAAATAAAAAAAATCTTCGAAAATCGAAATTTCGTGATAGCTCTAATAGGGGATAATCCAAAATTTTACTGAATATTAATTAGCTAAAAAAGGTTGATTTAAAAATAATTAAAATAATAAATAATTCTACATATTACCTATTTTTTATTTAAAAAAGATGTTTTTCAATTCAACCTTGTTTTTTGTCTAAATTAAATTTCCTAAAACATTTTTGGAATGAAAATAATTAAATTTTATTGGATAAAATGGATTGTTTTTAAGTCTTCTTTTTATGTATCTTATTTTAATTTCCAAATTTATTTTCGTACATATAAATATTTTTTTCTTTAAAATATTATATAAATTTATTAAAAATATTTTTTTAAATATATAAATAATTTATATATTTTTGACAACATTTTATATCTTTCTACATATTAATTTAAATAATTAATAAATATAATTTAATTATTTAAAATTGAGCTTTAGTTTCTTTTATAAATTTTAATATGGGGATGATGAAGAACTCGAATTATTAATTTCATAGTACTCTAATAGGATTAAGTATGAGAATGAAAAAAAGTTTTGCTCAAGAATCGGAAGAATTAAAAATTAAAAAAAACTTAAGGGTTTTTTGTTATAGCCCTATATGTATATCAGGGGTGTGTGAGTTTCGCCTTCGCCTCTCGCTTTTTAAAATCACTTTCGGCACACGATTTTCAATAATTCCCAATTCGATTTTTTTTCGATTTTCAATAATTCCCAATTCTTGAAAATCGTGAATGAGGCTTTGTGTAGAGGATCCCTTGTCCATACATAAATAATTTATATTTATTTTTTTCAATTTTAATTTATTTTTAGTTATTTATTATACTTAAAATGTGTGGAATTGCCCCAAATGAACTTAGTAAATGGTCAGAATCATTACCAGGGCAATTTGGATTTACAAAACAATTAGTTTATTCTAAAATTTAATATCTAATATTTAGTTTAATAAATAAATTTTTTCAGGTTTTTCGTGTTGCTTTACCTCATATAACCTTACTTTGTTTATCTATTTTTTATGTTGTTATTGGCTCTTTTATTTTAATTACTTTAAATGATAATAATTCAGAAAATGAAATTTTTGAGTTAAAAAATATTTTTTTAATAAAATATATACTTAATTTATATTTAAAGAATTAAAAAGCAATTTGTGGACGAAACATTAAAGAAATTAGTTGAAATTCTTCCTTATAAAAATAATAGTTCAAAACAAAATGAAATAATTAAAATATTTTTTGGTTATTTTTATGAAGAGAGGAAGGATCCGTTTAAATCATTTATTTTAAATGTTTATGAAATTAATGAGAGAAATGTGGGAATTTAAATAATTTTTTTAAATTAAAATTGCAATACATTTTTTAGTATATACTCCAAAAATACATAATAATAGTAATTAAAATTGTTTGCTAATAATGTAGGAACTTAAACAGCTATACAAAAAAATTTTTGGTGATCCACCTTGGTAGATGCTAACTCCCCTTTTTTCATAAAATTCTCTCCAATTTTGACCTACTCTTTTTAATATTTTCCAATCACTTTTTGAACAATCCAAAAATTAAAAAAAACAAAAAAAATTCTTTTAAATTTAATTATTTATTTAAGAAATATTCGAATAGCATAATTTGGAATTTATTCTTTTCAACTACATGGTTGACTTCTATTGGTATATTTCCTTAAAAAAATCTTTTCCAAATCTAAATATAATTTAAGGTTATGGTGTAAATGCACCAAACAGTTTAGGTCAACGTATATTCTGCATATTTTATTTAATTTTTGGAATTCCTCTTTATTTGGTTACCTTAGCAGATTTGGTGATATTGAAAAAAATAAAAAAAATATTTTTCCAAAAAAATTTTTTAGGCAAAATTTTGTACAGAAGGAATTAACAGACTTTACACAGAATGTGTTAAATTTCGTTATTATTTACTTGGATGGTATCGGCACAAAAAAAGGAGAATTCATGCAAATAGCGGAATTGAATATATTGCTGTTGGAACTAGAGGAAGGAGAAGACTTTCTTCTCGTAAACTTTCTGGTCAATTAGTCAGAAATGAAGAAGAAATGGCCGAATTTCTTTGGAAAAATTTAGAAAAAACACATTTTGTTGAAGTTCCCTTTTTTCTTGTTTATATTTTACTTTTGGCTTATATTATTGGCTCTGCACAATTTGTTGCTTATCTCGAAGATTGGGCATTCTTTGATTCACTTTATTTTATTATGATGAGTGTAATGACTATTGGCTTTGGAGGTGGAAATAATTAATTACTGGAATAATTAAGAAGCAATTATTAGATTAAGAAGTAATTAACTGAAAATAAGATGGGGGAGAATGGATGTGGGGAAGATGGATGATATATATCTTTAATTCTGTTTACACAATAATAAAAATATTAATTAATAGCTCGGATCTAAATTTGCTCATTAAAGGTTGTGCCAAAATTTAAGGTTCATCTTTTAGTTGGCAACTGAGGGGCTGTTTAAACAATATCTCTAATAAAGGATGTACATAAATAATGGTGTAAATATGTACCCCACTCCAAGCGTGTAAATAAAATCCCAACATTATTAATTTATATTTCTTTAAGATTTAGTACCAAAAAATATAAAATTTATTTTGCCAATACTTTTTATTATTTTGATTGGATTAATTGTTGCCACTACTTTTATTGATATGGTAGGGGCTTATTATATTGATAGACTTCACTTCTTTGGTAGAAGGATGGATTTAGAGGTACTAATTTTGGAAAGAATATTCGGGCAAATTAATTATATTTTATGATCCTTTGGAATGGTTAAAAGCTGTTCAACAACGTAGAATAGAGGCTATGAAGAGAGAGGCTATGCGTAAACTTTTTGAGACAGCTACAGCAATGTATAGATTAAATGCGGGAAGTTTTTCTAAAAAACAAATAAATTTAATCAAAAAAATGCCTGAGGGTATTTCTAAATTAATTATTTAAATATCTTATTTAAAAAAAAGTAATTATTCCAATGCCAAAAGGAATTGCTCCCTTTAATGCAACAGCTGATTCTGTTACTCTTAAATGGGAACCGTCAACACAAATTTTTTTGGAAGGAAAACCTTTTTGGTATACACTAAGTTATGCACCTAGAACCCCTCACAGATTAAATAATTCTACGAAAGTGATTGATTTTTTGAGACAAAACCGTTTTGTTGTTAGTGGATTGAAGTAAAATACATATATAGTAAATTTATTTTTCAAAAAATTATTTTAAGATCATTTACTCTTTATGAATTTAATGTTCGTATTTCTACTTCAGAGGGAAGTTCAAAACCAGTTAAATGTCAAGAATATACTGGTTAGGACATTTAAGTTAAATATTTACTTAAAATTATTAAGAGCCTTGTACTGTTCCACAATTATTACAATTGGATGCTATTAGTTCCGAAACTGCTACAATTTCTTGGCGAGCTCCAAGAAAAAATAATGGGCCGGAAGTTTTAATTTATTTTCACAAAAATAATTAAATTTATTTTTTAAAGAAATATTTATTATTATTTACTCAAGAACCAGCTCCTCCTTTCCAATATTGGAGAAGATTTGAAGCTGGAAAACGAAGGAAATTTACACTTATTGGCCTTAATGCTGATACTCGGTTTAACTTTTTAATTTTCGATTCGCAGGATTTTCATTGTGGTGTTAAAAAGGATTAATCATAAAGCCTACCGAAAATCCCAAAATTTCTAAAAATATAGTTTTGCCTTTAGTGTTGTAAATTTAAATTTTTGCAGGTAAAATTGAATTTCGTATACCCCCTCCTTTTTCCAGCCTCAAAATGTTTTAAAATGGTCAGTCTGTTATCAGATTATAGAACTCGTCGGACTGTGTCGAATGACACCAAATTCAACCCCAGGTCTTAATTTTGGGCCGAGATACAGACTCACGAAAATTGAAAAATAAAAGGGTGGACCAAGCTGTCGTGTAAAAATACACGAATAATTAAATCATAAATAATTTATTAATTTTTATATTTTATCTGTCATGGACAGAAATTTCCATGCATTTTCTTTCCCATAAGCTAACACTTTGACCTCTCAATCCACCGGATATAGTTAGAGAAATATATCTTTTTCTTTACTTTCCATACTATTTTTTACATTCTTTCTTTAACTATATCGCGGATGGGGCCCTATATAAACAATAGGCAAATATCCCCACACAACATATAATTGTTCATTCTTCGAGAACGCCAAGCCGTTCTATAAATCCTTTTAAATAATTTTTATTATTTCAGATTGTATTTATTTCTTTAAAATAAATATTTATTATTTATTTTTTATTCTTTTTGTCTTTTAAAAAGTAGGCTTTAACTTTTACTTGACAAAAAAGTGGTGCTCCGGGAGAGGCAACTAAAATTTTTAAATTTCAGTGTCCGATCAACTCGACCCCGCTGTCGTCCAACAAATTATTTTGGCTGCAAAAAAACAACACGTTTCCAAAACAACAAATAAATCCACCAATTACGTTTCTGCTCCAAACAATAAACAACATATTTCAAAAAATACTCTATTGGAGGAATTAGATTTGTCTGCTACGAGTTCAGACGAGGAGCCGCCAATAAAAAAGTGGGTTTTAGAACCTAAATTGTGCCCGTTAAGTGTAAACTGTATACCGTGTTTTTGGATTAGGTCAAACCCGTCTACTGGCCCAATCAAAAATACAACTAGCCAAATTGAACCACCAACGCCTCGTCGTCCTCGCGAGCCTTCTACTCCTGAACTGTTGGAAAGTGGAAAGAAAAGGAAGGTGAATTCTAAATTAATTGTTGAGGGAAGAAAAAGAAGGGCAGAATTCTTAAAGAAATCAATCTGGGACCATTTAATTTTAGGAGAGTCAGAACACCAACAACAACCACATTCCAGTGCGAGTACATCATCGCACGCCGATTGCCTGCCCACAAAAAGTAAATTTAATATTTTTGAGACGAATACTAAATTTTCCACAGCCAATACCAACACCTCCACGCATTATTCCAAAAGAAGAGAAAAAGAGCGTAGAGGGCGACAAACTTACAGAATTGGCACGACACAAAGGCCATCTGGTTCGAAAAAATACTCAATTAGCTGATACTTACATACAAATTGGGGTTTCGCTGCGCGGAACTGCTGCATTGTTTGAGAGATTAGCAACTCAATTAAGAGAAAAAGAACAATTATAAATTCTTAAAAAATTTTTTTGTAAAATTTATAAATTTCAAATTATTTATATCACATTCTACTTAAATTGTAATTCGTCAATTTAATCTCCAAAAAATAAAAAAAAATTTTTGAAATTTGAGTTTGAAGCATAATTGTTTGGCCATCTTTGTATTCAATAGAAGATTGTACAGGCCATTAAATTTATAAATTTTGAAAATAAAATAAATTTTTTATCTGAAATAAAATTAAGCTGAAATTATTAAAGTATTTGTAAATATTCACAAACAAAAATAAATTCGAGCGAAATATAAAATAAAATTAGGTTGTAATTATTGGAATTTTCTCGAGTCTTTGAGTACTAAAAGAATTTTCTCTAGTCACAAGTAGAAAATTCTCAACTATTGAATCCTCGCATTTCACACTTACAAAACTCACAAACGAAATAAAAATTCTGATTGTTTGAAATACAATTGTATAAGTTATTGAAACTTAGTACGAATCTTTAACTATTGTTTACTCAATACGAGCTTTTGGAACACATCAGAAATTTTTGTATTAGCAGAGCTTGAATTACCTAGGCTGCTATTGAAGAATGAGTACTCGAATCTTTGCCGGACCTTTAAAAATGAGACTTGGTCCACTCAAGAAACGTACCATAAGCTATATAAATACAGTTAGAGATTTATTAAACAATGGAATTTCCCAAGAAAATGCGACGAATTTAAAGGGTTACCAATTGAAACTGTCGAAGGCAGTTGAGGTATTAGAACAGATTAATACGGAGTGGGCAAAACTTATAAGTCTAGAATCGCCAGAAAGGAGAGAAGATATGTTAAAAGATTACAACAGCTACGCCGAAGATGAAAATGGGTTTATTGCCTTAATTGAGTTAGCTAGGGATTTAAGTTGTGAATTAGAAGCAAATCTCGGGGAATTCAAAAGTACTTCCTACAACGAAAGCTCGTCCAATATGACCGTCGCACATTCAAATTCGATTAGGCTTACAATCTGTAATCTCCCTAACTTCAGCGGAAAATCAAGCGATTGGCCAAGTTTCTGGAGCCTCTTCGAAATCTCGATCGATAAAAATAATAATTTAGATGACTCGGAAAAATTGACATATTTACTAGCTTCTCTCCATCGCCCACATCCTTACAATGAGGTTAGCGGATACGCGGTTACGGCAGTCAACTATCCGCTCGTCCTAAACCATTTAAAAAAACGATTTGGGGAAAATCACACGATTAAAAGAGAATTATATAGCGAATTAAATAAACTTTGCCCTCGCGCCTCTAAATTGGATGACGTTAGAATTAATTGGATTAGTATTAACCGAGTCACACAACAATTAAAAGCGTTAGGTGAGGAAGTAGACAATGGAGCCCTAATACAACAAGTAGAAAATAAATTCGGGGGATGGGTCAGTTGTATTATTATGGAAGAACAAAATCGAAATCCTACCGATTGGAATATTGAAAAATTATTAGATTCAATTGATAGGCATTTAAAAATTAAAGAGGCAGTATATGGACAAACTAATCAAAATCAATCCAATTACAGACGTCTACCAATCAGAAATAATCACAATGTATTCACGCAAAATATCGAACAAAATAGAAACTCAAACTGGAGAGAACAAAAACCCGAAATAAAACAATATAGGAATGATCGAGATAAAATTAAAAGGCCCTGTGCATTTTGTGAAATAACAAATCATAGCTCAATGCAGTGTAAAAAATATAATAATTGCGAATCTAGAATCCAACGATTAAAAGAATTAAGAAAGTGTATAAAATGTTTTGAGAAAGGTCATATTATAAAATTCTGTAAAAATAACAAAATAAAATGTAAGAACTGCTCCCAACCGCATTATCTAGCCGTTTGCTCTAAACTACCAAATAAAGAAACAGTTCATAATATAACGGATAATCCTAGAAAAAGTAGAAATACAGAACCAGACTTTTCAGACGAAGACGCAAAATGCATAACCGATTTATTAGAATTTAGTAAACTTAACCCAGATATAGATGAGAAAGAAGAAATCAATACATTTGCATTAAAAGGAGAGAGAATTAAAACAATATTAATTACAAAAAATATAGAGTATTTGATAAATCAAGAAACTATTCGTGGTCGTACACTAATGGACCCAGGCGCGACGTGTACATTAATTAGCGAAAGTTTTGCACAAAAATTAGGACTTTTAACCTCCGATCCCAAACACAAAACTGAAATCGAAATTGATGGATACGGAGGTCGAAAATCGAGATTTACCTCCACACGAGTCAAATTCGAAATGAAACTAAAGGATGGGTCAAATTTAATGATAGAAGGATTTACTACACCAAACCTAGATCAAATGAAAATTTATTGTCCTTCTAGTCCCAGGGATTTTTGGTTGTATGAAAAAAATGAAATAAATGTAAAGAAATGTACTCCTGACGTATTATTAGGCTTGGCCGATGTTTTAAATATTCTAGAAAGTGTAGAAAAATTAAAAGAACAGCGCTTCCTACTTCGCACTAAAGTTGGGCCAATAGTTTGTGGAAAAGCTAGAATAAAAGAAATGGAAGAAGAGAATGAAAGTAAAAACGAAAATCAATATGTAATGGTAGTAGAAAATGAAATTATTGAAAAAATCGAAGAAAAGGACTTTTGGAATTTAGAAACTATAGGCATTAGGGAACCGGGTTTAGAATTAACAGATGATGATAATGCTTGGACACAATTCAATCAAACAATTAATCAATTACCCGATGGGAGATACGAAGTCGGGTGGCCATGGAGATTAGATTCTAAAAAAGCATTACAAACGAATTTTGGAGTTACTATTGGTCGACTCAAAGCCCTTTGGAAAAAATATTCAAAAAATCCGGAAGTTTTAGAATCTATAGATAAAATAATAAAGGAACAGTTAGAATTAAATATGATTGAAATCGCACCTAGAAATACACAAGAAATAATTCACTATCTCCCACATCAACCGGTATTTAAAAGTTCATCATCTTTCACTAAACTAAGAGTTGTATTCGATGCAGGCTCGGGAAAAACACCATTAAATAATGAATTACTTAGAGGAGCTGTCCTACTCCCACAATTGCCCGGCATACTTATCAGAACACTTATGTTTAATAATCTGTTGATCGCTGATATTGCTAAAGCGTTTTTACAGATACAATTGAGACCGGAAGACAGGGATGTTACTAGATTCCTCTGGGTAAAAGATATAAAACACCAACCGGATCACACAAATTTAATTAGCTACAGATTTACTCGCGTATTATTCGGAATCATTTCCAGTCCATTTCTCCTCATAGCTACAATATTACATCATCTCGAGAAAATAAAAAGTCCTTTGTGTGAAGAAATTAAAACAAATTTGTATATGGACAATATAATTCTTGGGGCTAAAGATACTAACGAGATAAAAGAAAAATATAAAGAATTAATTCAGATCTTTAATAAAGCAAAAATGAGAGTTAGAGAATTTTGTTGCAATTCAGTCGAAGGAAATAATATGTTTGAGGAAAATGACAAACACCCTAGTATAGAATCCAAATCCCTTAAATTCCTAGGAATAAAATGGGAAATAGAAAAAGATGAATATTCACAAAAACTTCCCAATCAGACTTACAAAACAATGACTAAAAAGGAATTACTCTCATTAATACACTCGATATTCGACCCGTTGGGATTAATTGGACCCGCATTATTGCCAGCAAAACTTGTATATCAAAAAGTTTGTGGTAGAAATATAAATTGGAATGAAGAGTTAAATGAAGACGAATTAATCGAAATAAATAACATAGTAAATGATTGGAATGAGCAAGAGTTTAGTAGACCCAGAAAAATAATACACGGTTGTAGAGAGAAAGAAAATTTACAAATGCACTGTTTTGTTGACTCCTCGATGAAAGCGTACGCCGCGAATATTTATATCCGAAATGAATGCATACACAAAACAGACGTCAATTTAATTTTCGCTAAGAATAGAATAGTCCCCAAAGGAAAAGAAAATACATTAACCATCCCTAGATTAGAATTATTGGCTATTTTAATTGGAAATAGAGCAACTTCGTTTGTGAGTAGAGAATTTGTTGTGTATGGGCGTCAGCCCTTGAAGTGTTAGTATAAAAGGATAGCCAATAGTGAGTTCTCTCTCCCAGTTTTAGTTCTTCCTACAACCTTCACCTGCTCTGTATTTCATTGTGCGATAAACATTATTGTTAGCCTCTCTACGTAAGCGGGGTCATAACAATTGGCGCGGTCTCCTGTAAAAGAACCAAGTTCGTCAACGCTCGTCAACGTAAGCTGTGTGCTCGTCAACGAAAGCTGTGTGCAGTTGAGAAAAAGAAAAAGCTGTGTGGACAAATTGTAGTGTAGTAAAACCGAAAAGTGAGGACAATGGATGCCAAAGTGTTGGAGAAATTATTGAAGTCGCAGCAGGAGCATTTTGAAAAGATGTTAGTGAGGCTGCTGAAGCCGAGTGAAATGAACGACACCGAATTATATAGCAAATTGGTTGCGATGATCGGTGAGTTTAGTTTTGATTTGACGAGTGGTATGACCTTTGAGTCTTGGTTGGGCAGGCATCGATCCTATTTTGAGGAGGAGGGTAAAACCCTGCCAGAATCCTCTAAAGTGAGATTGTTGTTGAGTAAATTGGGGCCTGAAGAGTATGCCCAGATTGAAAGGAAGATGCTGCCAACCAAATTGAGTGAGATGAAGTTTGACGAACTCTGTAGTGAATTAGTGAAAGAGTTTAGTGACCATCGGTCTAAATTGTTGAAAAGGTTCGAGGCCTTAAATGTTAAGTGTAGTGACCTCCAAGATATTGTTGAATTTGGGAATGTAGTGAATGCTCAGTGTGAAAGAGCTGATATGGCCTTGTCAATTGAAGAATTAAAAATTCTTATTTTCATTTCAGGTATGCCAAGCAATGCTACCTCAGTACGACAAGTTGCCATGAAAATTGTTGAAAGTAAAAGTGAAAAAGGGCAAGCAGTGACCTTGAAAGAAGTTATTGAAGAGTGTCGAGCCTATATGGCAAATAAAAGCGAAGCGATGTATATTGTCAAGGAGAAAGTGAGTGAAGTGAAGAAAGAAATGCCCGAAGTCAATACATTGCAAAAAGTGAAGTGTCATGAAAAGAGTGAAATTGAAAATGGATTCGAGTGCAAACCAAAGTGGTCCAAACCAAACGTCAAGTATCAACAAAATGTGATTGAGAAAAAGTGTAGTCATTGTGGACGTTTTGGTCACTGGCGAATGCATTGTAAGTTTTTGAACGATAAAAAGTTCCAGCCAAAAAGGCAGTGGAGTAATGATAATAATCATTCAGGTGCTCCATATTGTGCTATATTGGACATCTTTGATCCAATGCAAAGTGTAGAAAAAGAAGAGTGGATTAAACAAAGAGTGAAGTTTGGAGAAGTGAATATTGAGATGATTGTCGATACTGCATCGCAGATCAATGTTGTCAATAAAGAAGTTTGGAATAGTATTGGCCAGCCGAAAGTTGAAAAAGTGAATTACAAAGGCATTGGGCTGGGTGACAACAAAGTAGAAATTGAAGGAAAGTTCAAAAGCAAAGTGAGAGTGAAAGACAAAGAAGTCTTTATGGAGTTCCATGTAGTGAATAGTGAAGTGTGTATCTTGGGTTTGCCGGGCTTAAAAAAAGTGTCAGTGCTCAGCAAAAAGCCAAAGTACAACAAGTGGAGTAAGAAGAAGGCAAATTTCAAGATACAGAAAAATGCGTTTCCGAACGGGACAAAAGTGAAAGTGAAGAACACCAATAAAAGAAGTGGTAAAATTGAGTGGCTTCATGGAGAAATAGTGCGCAAGACGGAATACGCCTGGAAAATCAAAGTGCCAGTGTTGAAGAGTATTGTGACCAGGACGTTTAAAGAAATCCGTCGTGATGAGTGGAGTAATAAGAAGAAATTGTTGAATGAAGAGATTCAAAAAATGAATATTAGTGAAGAATCGATAGTGAGTGAAAGTAGTGTGACTTCTTCGAGTGCCAGCAGTGTGGACAGTTCAAAGAAGATCAAATCAAAGATGAAGGACAACACAGATGGGAACAAATCAAAGATGAGAGATGGTAAAGACGATAATAATATGGAGATGTAGATGTGTAAAATAAATAAATATAATTGTGATAATTTTGTTGTTGTATTTTTTGTTTGTATTTGTATGTATTTTTTTTGTTGTTCCCATTGTCCTTATTCCCCCAAAATTTTTGTATGTATTTTTGTTTGTATTGTTTGGCTGAAAAGTGTTGAGTATATTGTAAAGCTTCGGCTTTAAGTGAAGCCGAACCTTTTTTTCAAGGGGGGAGGTGTTGTGTATGGGCGTCAGCCCTTGAAGTGTTAGTATAAAAGGATAGCCAATAGTGAGTTCTCTCTCCCAGTTTTAGTTCTTCCTACAACCTTCACCTGCTCTGTATTTCATTGTGCGATAAACATTATTGTTAGCCTCTCTACGTAAGCGGGGTCATAACAGAATTAAAGAGACCTATACAAAAATGTGTTCTTTGGAGCGATTCAATAATTGCAACGTCGTGGATAAAGAACACAAAACATAAAGAAACATTCATTAATAATAGAGTAATAGAAATAAGGAAAAATAAAGAGATAGAATATAGACACGTATCCTCAATAGATAACCCAGCCGATATAGGAAGTAAAGGAATAAATGGACCTGAACTCAATTCTAGCAGATTATGGTGGAAAGGTCCTAGTTGGTTAAAAGAAAACGAAAATAAATGGCCTAATAAATTAATATTTTCGATAGAAGAGGACCAACCAAATCCTGTTCTTTGTTATGAAATTCAAATAAATGAAAATAAAAGGGAACTTATACCAAAAGCCGAAAATTATAGCTCATGGTGGAAACTAATATATACAACCATGTTCATATTAAGATATTTAAATATTTGTATCTGGTCTAAACTTAATAAAATAAAGAAGCCGTGGCTCTCCAAAATTAAAACAAAAGGGGTTTTTAACGCAAAAGATATAAGACTTGCAAACTTGTTATTGATTAAGCAGGCACAGCTCAAAGAAAGTCTATCTATGGAACAAAAGGAAAGTCTAAATTTATTCGAGGACGAAAACAATATTTTAAGGTGTAAAACTAGGTTACAGAATCTCCCAAATGGCTATGAGTTTTCAAACCCTATATATTTACCAAGAGATGATCCAATTACAAAACTTATCATATTACATACACACAAGTCAAATCAACATTCCGGCCTTCAGGCGACATTGACTCAGCTTAAATTAAAATATTTTATAATAAGAGCACGAAATTTAGTCAAAAGAACGTTAAAGGAATGTTTAGAGCACTGTCAAAAACTGAAACCATATCAACTTACAAAAATGCCCCCATTACCAGAAAGTCGTATAATAATTTCACGAGTCTTTCAAAATACTGGTTTAGATTTTATGGGACCATTATTAGTTAAAAATTTAAATGAGGAAAGAAGGAAAATATGGATATTACTATTTACTTGTCTCACAACACCTGCTCTGTATTTCATTGTGCGATAAACATTATTGTTAGCCTCTCTACGTAAGCGGGGTCATAACAATTGGCGCGGTCTCCTGTAAAAGAACCAAGTTCGTCAACGCTCGTCAACGTAAGCTGTGTGCTCGTCAACGAAAGCTGTGTGCAGTTGAGAAAAAGAAAAAGCTGTGTGGACAAATTGTAGTGTAGTAAAACCGAAAAGTGAGGACAATGGATGCCAAAGTGTTGGAGAAATTATTGAAGTCGCAGCAGGAGCATTTTGAAAAGATGTTAGTGAGGCTGCTGAAGCCGAGTGAAATGAACGACACCGAATTATATAGCAAATTGGTTGCGATGATCGGTGAGTTTAGTTTTGATTTGACGAGTGGTATGACCTTTGAGTCTTGGTTGGGCAGGCATCGATCCTATTTTGAGGAGGAGGGTAAAACCCTGCCAGAATCCTCTAAAGTGAGATTGTTGTTGAGTAAATTGGGGCCTGAAGAGTATGCCCAGATTGAAAGGAAGATGCTGCCAACCAAATTGAGTGAGATGAAGTTTGACGAACTCTGTAGTGAATTAGTGAAAGAGTTTAGTGACCATCGGTCTAAATTGTTGAAAAGGTTCGAGGCCTTAAATGTTAAGTGTAGTGACCTCCAAGATATTGTTGAATTTGGGAATGTAGTGAATGCTCAGTGTGAAAGAGCTGATATGGCCTTGTCAATTGAAGAATTAAAAATTCTTATTTTCATTTCAGGTATGCCAAGCAATGCTACCTCAGTACGACAAGTTGCCATGAAAATTGTGGAAAGTAAAAGTGAAAAAGGGCAAGCAGTGACCTTGAAAGAAGTTATTGAAGAGTGTCGAGCCTATATGGCAAATAAAAGCGAAGCGATGTATATTGTCAAGGAGAAAGTGAGTGAAGTGAAGAAAGAAATGCCCGAAGTCAATACATTGCAAAAAGTGAAGTGTCATGAAAAGAGTGAAATTGAAAATGGATTCGAGTGCAAACCAAAGTGGTCCAAACCAAACGTCAAGTATCAACAAAATGTGATTGAGAAAAAGTGTAGTCATTGTGGACGTTTTGGTCACTGGCGAATGCATTGTAAGTTTTTGAACGATAAAAAGTTCCAGCCAAAAAGGCAGTGGAGTAATGATAATAATCATTCAGGTGCTCCATATTGTGCTATATTGGACATCTTTGATCCAATGCAAAGTGTAGAAAAAGAAGAGTGGATTAAACAAAGAGTGAAGTTTGGAGAAGTGAATATTGAGATGATTGTCGATACTGCATCGCAGATCAATGTTGTCAATAAAGAAGTTTGGAATAGTATTGGCCAGCCGAAAGTTGAAAAAGTGAATTACAAAGGCATTGGGCTGGGTGACAACAAAGTAGAAATTGAAGGAAAGTTCAAAAGCAAAGTGAGAGTGAAAGACAAAGAAGTCTTTATGGAGTTCCATGTAGTGAATAGTGAAGTGTGTATCTTGGGTTTGCCGGGCTTAAAAAAAGTGTCAGTGCTCAGCAAAAAGCCAAAGTACAACAAGTGGAGTAAGAAGAAGGCAAATTTCAAGATACAGAAAAATGCGTTTCCGAACGGGACAAAAGTGAAAGTGAAGAACACCAATAAAAGAAGTGGTAAAATTGAGTGGCTTCATGGAGAAATAGTGCGCAAGACGGAATACGCCTGGAAAATCAAAGTGCCAGTGTTGAAGAGTATTGTGACCAGGACGTTTAAAGAAATCCGTCGTGATGAGTGGAGTAATAAGAAGAAATTGTTGAATGAAGAGATTCAAAAAATGAATATTAGTGAAGAATCGATAGTGAGTGAAAGTAGTGTGACTTCTTCGAGTGCCAGCAGTGTGGACAGTTCAAAGAAGATCAAATCAAAGATGAAGGACAACACAGATGGGAACAAATCAAAGATGAGAGATGGTAAAGACGATAATAATATGGAGATGTAGATGTGTAAAATAAATAAATATAATTGTGATAATTTTGTTGTTGTATTTTTTGTTTGTATTTGTATGTATTTTTTTTGTTGTTCCCATTGTCCTTATTCCCCCAAAATTTTTGTATGTATTTTTGTTTGTATTGTTTGGCTGAAAAGTGTTGAGTATATTGTAAAGCTTCGGCTTTAAGTGAAGCCGAACCTTTTTTTCAAGGGGGGAGGTGTTGTGTATGGGCGTCAGCCCTTGAAGTGTTAGTATAAAAGGATAGCCAATAGTGAGTTCTCTCTCCCAGTTTTAGTTCTTCCTACAACCTTCACCTGCTCTGTATTTCATTGTGCGATAAACATTATTGTTAGCCTCTCTACGTAAGCGGGGTCATAACAGAATTAAAGAGACCTATACAAAAATGTGTTCTTTGGAGCGATTCAATAATTGCAACGTCGTGGATAAAGAACACAAAACATAAAGAAACATTCATTAATAATAGAGTAATAGAAATAAGGAAAAATAAAGAGATAGAATATAGACACGTATCCTCAATAGATAACCCAGCCGATATAGGAAGTAAAGGAATAAATGGACCTGAACTCAATTCTAGCAGATTATGGTGGAAAGGTCCTAGTTGGTTAAAAGAAAACGAAAATAAATGGCCTAATAAATTAATATTTTCGATAGAAGAGGACCAACCAAATCCTGTTCTTTGTTATGAAATTCAAATAAATGAAAATAAAAGGGAACTTATACCAAAAGCCGAAAATTATAGCTCATGGTGGAAACTAATATATACAACCATGTTCATATTAAGATATTTAAATATTTGTATCTGGTCTAAACTTAATAAAATAAAGAAGCCGTGGCTCTCCAAAATTAAAACAAAAGGGGTTTTTAACGCAAAAGATATAAGACTTGCAAACTTGTTATTGATTAAGCAGGCACAGCTCAAAGAAAGTCTATCTATGGAACAAAAGGAAAGTCTAAATTTATTCGAGGACGAAAACAATATTTTAAGGTGTAAAACTAGGTTACAGAATCTCCCAAATGGCTATGAGTTTTCAAACCCTATATATTTACCAAGAGATGATCCAATTACAAAACTTATCATATTACATACACACAAGTCAAATCAACATTCCGGCCTTCAGGCGACATTGACTCAGCTTAAATTAAAATATTTTATAATAAGAGCACGAAATTTAGTCAAAAGAACGTTAAAGGAATGTTTAGAGCACTGTCAAAAACTGAAACCATATCAACTTACAAAAATGCCCCCATTACCAGAAAGTCGTATAATAATTTCACGAGTCTTTCAAAATACTGGTTTAGATTTTATGGGACCATTATTAGTTAAAAATTTAAATGAGGAAAGAAGGAAAATATGGATATTACTATTTACTTGTCTCACAACACGCACTATTCATCTCGAAATCGTAAATAGTATTGACACTCATTCTTTTTTAAACGCATTTAGAAAATTTGTTGCAAGAAGAACTAGGCCAAATTATATTCTCTCCGATAACGGTTCGAGTTTCAGATTGGCAGAAAAAACATTAAAGAAACTCAAACCCGAACACATAATAGATGAAGGTATCCAAAAATACTTTGCGGAAGAGAATATCAATTGGCAATTCATAACACCACTCGCCCCATGGCAAGGAGGAGTTTATGAGAGGATCAATGGAATGATAAAATCAAATATTAGAAAATCAATAGGTAGAAGAATAATTAACTATGACGATTTTAATACGCTAATCTGTGAAGTT